ATTTTCAAATTTTCGTTTTGTTTGCTTTTTGTACAAGATAAGGAAAATTTATTTAATCAGAAAATAATCCTACAAGTGTTTTTTTTTTGGCATGTTAAATGGAGATGGACCAAGCCAATAGATTTGTGGCTTATATGTCCAGTACAAGTGTTTTGAATAAAAATTTCCTGGTCAAATATAAACAAAATAAAAATATCTCGGAGAGAATTTTTTTAGCTTTTGTTTACTTTTATAAAAAAACATATGTATTTTTTATCGTTCGCTTTTTTTTGTGTTCGCTTTTTACAAATATTCTGGCTGGCGTGAACGATTTTTTCTTCTTTTTACAGATACTGCAGAATCATCCATGGAATGTATGTGGAAATTTTTATGGCTATGCCTACCTTGAGATGCGAGGGATAAAGAGAAAACACAATTGTTTTGCTTTTGGAATTGGAGTCAATTAAGGTTGTATTGTGGGCGTGTCGTTCATGTGTCTGCTAAATTTTAACCCGATAATTTCAGTTTAGTGGGCTGAAGAACTTTTACCACAGATACCACATATTCAAACAGGCAGGCATGGTTAAATCGATTCATAATTTGATGTTTGTTAGCTATATATGTATATATATACAGCGTCTATGCAAATTATGTATATCTGCCATATTTTTTGGTGGCGGATATAAAAAAAAAATTCAAATTTAGCAGTGTTGTATTTATTATCGAAAATATATGTTGCTTGGAATTTCTGCTTATGATCCCTATTGATCGTTTTGTTGGCTATGTATCAGGAAAGCAATAATAAAAAGGAATTTTTAGAAAATTTACAATCATTTCAATCGTTAGTTGTAAACAAAGAATAACGTATTTATCACAAAATGTTAGGAGAGAATTTCGAACGACAAATGGAACAATTATACGTAGCTTTTTGTGAAGCATTTCAAAGGGAAGAGTTTAGCATGGTAGACGTATACATGAATCGTATTAAATATCTATTATATTAGCTATTAAAACACATCTCTACCGTTAAGATGCTTTCGCGCCATTATCCTTTAGTTTTGCTTTTAAATAATACTTGTTTATCGGGCCCAATAATTTCCGGTTAGCATTTATTGTCAAACTTATTAGAATATATAAGTTGTAGAGACAATGGACGGCAGTCATGGTAGCCATGAAAGTAAAATAAGTGATGACTAGATAGTCTTACTATTCAATACACTATGTCTAATTAAGGGGAAAGAAAAAGAGAAAAAAATAGATAAAAAAAAGAACCCTTTACGAAAATGGACACAAGGCATACATTGCTTCTAGTATCAAGGTTTGAAAAAGTTTCAAAATGTTACACTTACTACAAATTCATCTATTGGCAAACGTTTCGAGTGCAAATTAAGGCATGATAACAATACGCCATGTATCATTTTTACAAGATATTAAAGATAACTTTCATTTTATTTAACGGCAAACGGTTTCATAAAAAGTAATTTTGTTTAATCTATATACATTATTTCGTGCGAATATGATTTTTATTTGCAATTTCAGCTAGCGATGTAAGATGTAGGTAATTGTGGTATCGATTTTGCAGAATTTTTCAATCGCGCGAACTTTTTACATAGAATATATTTCGATCTTAACTCATGCTAGTTAGCAGTTTGTAGAATATATTTTGGTCATAATTCGTGCAAGTTAGCGGCTTGTAGAATATATTAGTGTGGAATTGGATGGAATTGTTTGGAAAATTTAAGAGCAGTATATGAAAAGCCAGGGTGGAGTTTTTGAAATTTATTGAAATTTATTTTGGGGACTTTTGTTTATAAGGAAAGACCTTTAATCAGTTTTTTATGTCTGGTCTGAGGTGGGGTGAAAAATATTCTAATGGGACTTTTAATACAAATTGAAAGAAAATGTTATCGTTGATATATTGCTAACCGATCGGCTACTATCACTTCGGGAAAGAACTTACGGCTAGTTCTAGTGAACATTTGAATAGTTTTAGTTTGGGGAAAAAGAAATCCATTATTTTTACTTTATTTAACATGCTTCGGATTGTCCGATTTGGGTCAAATATGCACCGTTTTGTTGTATGATTTGTTGCCATTTTAAAGGTAACTTCAAAATACCTCTCTCATAGAAGTCCTGGTCTCTATTTGCAAAAAACTCTAGTAGTCGATTTTCACAATCCTCCCTAGATTCCAATTTTTTATCATTAAAGAAATTTTGCAATGCAAGAAAAAGATGATAATCGCTTGGTGCCAAGTCCGGACTGTATGGCGGATGCATTAAAACTTCCCAACCAAGCTCCCGAAGTATCTGGCGAGTCACTGTAGATGTGTGTGGCCTAGCTTTGTCCTGGTGGAACACGACACCTCTCCTGTTGGCCAATTCTGGCCGTTTCTGGTCAATCGCTATCTTCAAACGGTCCAGTTGTTGACAGTAGAGATCAGAATTTAGCTTTTTGGCCATGTGGAAGCAACTCATAATAAATAATCCCCTTCCAGTCCCACCAAATGCATAGCAAAACCTTGCTGGCCGTTTGAGCTGCTTCACCGCTCTTTGACCACGGTCGTTTTCGCACAGGGTTATCGTATGTGATCCATTTCTCATCTCCAGTCACCATCCGTTTAAGAAATGGGTCTATCTCATTCCGTTTGGCCAAGACTTCGCAGATGGAAATTCGATCCATCATGTTTTTTTCTGTTAATTGGTGTGGCACCCAAACATCGAGTTTCTTTTTGAATCCAGCTTTGTGTAAATGGTTTAAAACTGTTTTATGGTCGATTTTTAGCTCCTGGGCGATGTTACGACTGCTAACATGCCGGTCAACTTCGATCGTTTCTCCGATTTTATCGACATTTTCGACGACCGGCCTACCTGTGCGAGCTGCATCTTTAACATCAAAAATTCCTGATCTACGAAACCAAAATTACACATAATTGGCTGTTACAGTATCGGAACCATAAACACCATTCACAATTTTAGCCGCCTGGCTTGCATTTTCGCCTTTGTCAAAGAAAAACTGTAAAATGTACCGAATTTTCTCTTTGCTCACTTCCATTTTTAACACGCTGTAACTCACAACTGAATGCAACAAATAAAAAACAGCAAAAGAATTTTTTTTACTGCGAAATGTCACCTTTCCAACGAGCATAAATATGAAATTGTTTGATCGATACTTTACGAGAAATCTATCAGTGCAGCCATCCAACGAAAAAATAATGGATTTCTTTTTCCCCAAGCTAATATATAGCTCTTTGTAATATTGTAGGCAGATTGAAAACTATCTAATTTCTCACAATTCTGGGTGGGCATCCGCTGTTCCTTAAGTGTGCACATATTTACGTGAGTAACATAAAGAAGTCAAGAGAAAAAAAGGAATCCAACATTACGAATCACGCTTATCGAGTTAATTTAAGTAATTCTCGTAAAGCAATTCGAACGAGTATCCGTTAAAGAGAATTGGGTTGATGAAATGCGCTCGGCATCGAATGTAAAACGTCGAACTTCATGTTTAAAAGGAAATTAAAGCAAACTATTCGTTATGAAACCAGATATTTGGTAAAATTAATGTACATAGAAAGATTACTAAATATCAGAAATTTCAAAATTTTAGAAAAAACAACAAAATCAAATAATTATTGTCGGTGCTCTTACCTGTTGGTGTCACAAAATTTAAAAAAGAATAAATGAATTTGGAATTAGTCAAAAAATTTTGTGTGATCCACAAAAACCGGAAACGTAGAATTAGTAGAAACTGAGTAGGTACTTGTTTGGTCGATATATAGCCAGGTAGAGGAAAGAGATCACAAATCAGTTCAAAAAATACACGAGTTTTCCAACTCTACGCTGGCAGCACTCAAACAATTGATCACCATGGAGCGACGATTGTTGGAAATATCAGTAGAAAAACGTAAAATGGATAAGGAAAATTGGCAAAGAAAGATACACCATAAATACAGAAGTAATAAAAAGCAAAAGTTAGCTATTAGTTATATTCGGCGTGG